CAGAAAGAATAAATATTGCAATGTGATTTATTCCCAATATCGTGCAGCCCTATTATATAGGCATGAGCCAAACCAATGTGTTTTCTTTGGTTCATGGTCATTTTTTAAGGAGACACCTTTAACAAGAGATGTAGGAGGAAGCTCAGAGGAGAGCTGTGCAGAAGGTTTACGATTCCCCAAGCATCGAGGCCAAAGAATCGTTTTTATTTGTCTTTCAAAATCAGGAAGACATGGAACTTTTTATTGTTGAATGTGGGAACAAAATTCGATTAAAGATTAATTGCATGTATGAGTAGTTTTAGAATAATTTTATAGATTACATTGTTTACTTAATTTGTTTATTTGAAGTTTTCATTTTTGTTGTATTTTTCATTAAAATATAATTTGATGCAATCTTATTGCATCTGCCCCTTCATTTGAAATATTGGTCTTAGTTGTGAGGTCATATTAGTTAGTTTATTATAATGCCTTTACAAGCCAATTAAAAAAAACATAATTAAATAGAGCTTTTAAATTGTTTTACTAAATCATTTCTTGTATAAATGTACTGTACATCTTTTACTGTGATTCCTATGATTTTGTGGTGAGCTTACCCTTTACCTTAAATAGTTGAAACAGAGAATAGTCTAATACAGGACTTTAGATGCTCCAGTCCTCTGCTCAAGTCTGGGTTTTGATGTTCTTTTTGTGTCATTTGGTACCATGTTCTCAAAGACAGACCAGTCTGTCCTACAGGCACTTCCATCTAATCATCTAGTTGGTTCAGGTTTTTCTACAAAAACAAGCTAAAAGCAGGACTTTGTGTAGCCTTTATGAACATTCATTTTAGATTAATTTTGTTGAGAAAAGGTTTTCTGGATGTTTCTAATTAACAGCTAATACTTTGTGAGGTAGATTTTTATGTTGGATATAGGGAAGTTTTAAGGAACTGTTTACTGACAATCATTTTCTAAAGTACTCCAAAGAGCAGGTTTATTACAGAGGAAGACATTTTTGACATAGGTTTTTAATATTATTTTGTGGTCTTTTCCCTTTGTGCATAGCAGTCTTTGCTGTTAGAATTGCATCTGATAAAAAAAGTTTACACGTTAGATTTATATATATGCATGCTGTATCTTAAAAAGGAACAAAACTGACTTTCAAAACAGGACTGTTTTGAACAGAAGTAACGGCTATCCGTATAATACCATTTTCCACTATCTCTATAATATTTTATATAATATAGTATAGTAATATAATAATGTAGTATACTATAATTTTCTACTCGGTTCATAGGTTACAATAGTGGCGTACAAGACTAGAAATTTGCCGTTCTGAAACCGCAGCGACGAAACTTGTGCCTAATACAGCGGTTAAATTTGAGGTTAAGTTTAGTGCCCGAAGAGCAAAGTCCAAATAAAAAATATATAATATTAGGAAGGCAAACTTCAATTGTATGAGATTAAAACTAGAAACTGTGAACTGGATGGAGTTAAATAACAAAACTGTTGAAGAGGCATGGGAATTTTTTAAAAGCACA